TAAGCGGGGAGCCCGCGTCTCACACGACATGAGTGGGAACAAGAGAGTGAGGGGGCAGGTGCCACACACTTACACAACCGGGTCTCCCAGGAACTCACAGCGAGAACTAACTCATCACAAGGGGATGGCGCTGAGCCATTCATGAGAGATTCACTCCCTGATCCAGTCACCTCCCCCCAGGCCCTGCCTCCAGCACTGGGGATTACATCTCGGCATGGGATTTGGAGTGCACAAATATCCAAACCGTATCAGTAGCTATTGCTGAATTTGGAAACCCCGGTCCCAGGGATAAACACCTTCCCAAACTGTGGCCTAGAAGACCAAGAGAGGATTTCCTGTCTCTGGGGCAGGGATCACATGAGGGAAAGTATCAGGTGTTTGAGTGCCAATGGCTCTGCCATTCGTAGATTGTAACACATGATCAGAAGAGTGCGGCAGATGGACTATCCAGCTTTGCTAAGGTTGCAGAGGTTGGTCTGAGCTGGGAGTCCACATTCTTCACCAAGGTGTTCCTCAGAATCCATGCCAAGGGACCTGTGCTTGCTGAAGGGGGATAAGCCAGAAGGTGAAGACATGCCAACTTCCGAGAGCACAGCTCCCCTTTAATACCAAAAAGCTCGCTGCCTTCAGCACCCCAAGTTTTCTCCTCTCCCAGCCTTGGATGCTCTACATGTGTGAACTGCAGGAAAAGAGGAGGCACCCAGCAACCAAGAGAGCAGTCGGGAGTAATTAGGACCTGCTTAAAACATGATCAACCTGCTTTAAGCCCCAGGGTGCCCCCCATCCCCACCCCTGACAGAATGGAATCCGCCATGCAGCTGCTTGTGCCTAAAATTGTCTCCATTACTGGAGACCATGTTGGCCAGGCTGGTCTCAAACTCCTGACTCAAGTGATCTGCCCACCTCAGCCTCCCAAAAGTGCTGGGATCACAGGCATGAGCCACTGCTCCCAGCCTCCTTTTAGCATTTCTTATGGAAAGAATATAGTGAAATGAGGAATTGGAGGTTATAGAATTTTGTTGTATCCCATGTGTTCCCAATTTAAGCTTTAAAAAATTCTGAGTAACATTTTAAAATATGTTTTTTGTGAAAATGAAGGGTAAATGAGTGGAATAAGCCTGTGGCCGATTTGCTATTTATAAGTGACTGTTCTAAGTATTATTTCACATCTTGGAAAAAACTTCATGCATGCTAAGAAAATGTGAAATTCTTTGGCATTACATACTTGACTAATAATTTGAAAAAACATATTAATCTTTGATTTTGTTGATCAGTTTTACAAGATGTGAAATCATTACTTAGTCTAGGAACAAAGAGCTTTGTTTGAGGCATGCTAAGCGTGAATGTCCATTAGGTGCTGATGCAGAGCTGCAGACAAGGCGATGTTTCACTCTGGAGTTTCAGAGAAAAACCTGAGTTGCAGATATTGATTTGTGGTTTCCTGGCTTAGAGGTTGTATTCAAAGCCATGAGAATATTTGATGTCATCAAGGAAATGAGTGAAGACAGAAAACAGTACAAAGATCACCCAAGGGTCCTCCAAAGATTACAGCCTCCCCCGGTTTCAGGAATGAAATCATTTCAGGAAATATCGTGGACTAGGAAACTTGGCAGGATATTTCTGAGCTGAAAGACGTGGGTTAAGGAAGCCCCTTTGATGGGGTTCAATCAGTGGAGGGTGAAAGCATTGGAAAACGTGCACATAAACGTTATGAACACCTGTCAGTCTCAAAGTGCTTTGGCCAGTAGCCCATGACATTGTCCCTACTTTTCAAAAAAGTTGTCTGGAATGAAATTGTATGTTGTCGACTAGCTGATTCAATTTTTACCCCTACAAACTATACGAGCAATTATGTCTTTGTAAGAATTATTCCTGAAGGTTATCGAAGTTTGAAAGCACCATGCTATTGTATATACACTATTTTCCAAAGAGTTTTGAAATTTTTGATAGTTTATTAGATGTATTATTTGCAATTTTGAAATTCATTTGACAATGACATGTTATGGCTTTGGGATATTTTATATTAGTAAGTGTGCCTTTTTAAATGTATGAAATATTTCAAAAGACTGAGTAGAACAAATTAATAGTATATTTTTAGAACCGCATAGTATTTGCTCTATATGGAGCTGATAATCAGAAGAATGTGACCAGTCAATGATGTCTTTGATGTCCTGCCTCCACCACAGCCCAGCAAGGTCACTGCTGATACTGGGCACACTTAAGAGGTCAAGGCTTGGATCTCAGCCTTAAAATAATGTGGGAAGTTTCCTTTTATGCACAAGATATAATAGACAAAAGAGCATGTGCCTGTATTTCCCAAGCAGAGATGTGCTAGACTCCCTTCTCCTAGCCTTCCCCGTATCTGACGTCTAATCACTTCTCCTGGACGGTGTCCTCCACCTCCCTAACCTAACCCCACAGGAATGCTTCATCTGCAGGTTGCTGGAGCTCCAATTCTTGTGATGCTAGAGGGAGGCCATGGATTGTTGGTCATCCTGTCAGTATGGCTCGCCTTTTAGGCTCTATGTTGTGTGCTTTCTTCTTTCTAAAAGAGCTGAAGACAGACTAATTGATGAATACCTGTCACTTGCTCCTCCTCTAGAGGCTGAACATTCTACCCACTCTCACCTCAAAAATGTCTTTAAATAATTATCATCATCCACTCCCTGCCCCAAACTTACAGGCAAATCATAGTTTTTGGCCCTAATGAACTAGAAGGAAAAGAAACACACAAGTAACAGAGAAAGGAATAGGAAAAGAATCTTTAAGGAAAAATATTCCATTATTTTAAGATGATACAAATGGGTTGTCTTGGCTTTCTGGCCTATGGACATATCTGGCTACTAAAGTTTAGTTGCCAAGCAGGAGGGATTTAACCAGAGGTGATGTTTCTAGTCACCAGCACAGAGACATCCTCTGCATCACCATCCTCAGGCAGGGCCTTCTGTAGACATGGTGCAATGCCTTCCATGTTAATATTCATCTGAAAATGGATAATCAGGGTGGCCTGCAAAACTGAAAAGAGAAATAACAGCACATAATATGAAGGAAATGACTCTATTAAAAAGGTGGTAGGGAAGTGTTTCTAGGAAGCTGCCATTAGTGTGAATGTGAAGAAGTTTATTTTCTGACTAGTTGTAGAATCTCTGTCTTTTATGAACATGACTTTATAATATGGGTTTTTTTTTCAAAATAAGGAATTATTCAACTTATATTCTCTTGCCTGGAATTTATCACATAAACCACACAGGGTTAATTGTTCAAACATAGTCCTCCGTATCTGTCAACAGAGTAGAGAGATATTCTGATCTTTTCTGTTTCAAATTCTCAATGAAATCAGGAACTTATCCTGCATTGCTTTGAATAGAAATAAGCCAGCTATATTTCATCACAAATAAAGTTTTGAATGTTAAATGTTATTGGTAGCAATCATACATCCTTTAAAATATATATTCATTACTGACTAGCTGCTTACCATATTGAAAATATTTTCTTTGATTCAGACATGTAAATTGTGATATGTGATATGGGGTTCCATATCCAAAACTCTACAATATGCTCAGGGCAGTTTTTAGGTGGAAATCACACAAAATAGAGTGATGAATAAATGATTCATCAATATTAAATAATTGATTGATGGTGAGAATTGCTGAGGTTTGCCACTCTTCCTTTCCTTTTCATGATTTCCTGTTTTACTCTTTTCCTCTAATGAAAATATAAGCAATGATATCTAAAAATGTTTGAGTTCTTATGATGTGCCACTGTGCTTATCCTTTTTAATACATTATCTTATCATGTCTATTATCTGTTAATATCTCCACTGCAAGCAGTGACATAAGTTGTTTTTCCCTCATCACATGAGTGCCTTTCTGTGAATCCTAGAAGCTTGGAGCATGTAGAAAGAGTAAGATCTTTTGTCAGCTATGTATTATCTCCAAAGATGAGGCTTTCCAACTCTTCCCTTGATGTTTTTTTGTTTTCTTTTTTTTTTTTGGTTTTTTTTTTGAGACAGAGTCTTGCTCTGTTGCCCAGGCGGGAGTGCAGTGGCACAATCAGCTCACTGCAACTTCCACCTCCTGGGTTCAAGTGATTCTCCTCCTTCAGCCTCCTGAGTAGCTGGAATTACAGGTGTGTACTCCCACTCCCAGCTAGTTTTTGTATTTTTAGTAGAGACAGGGTTTCACCATTTTGGCCAGGTTGGTCTGAAACTTCTGACCTCAAGTGATCCACCTGCCTTGGCCTTCCAAAGTGTTGGGATTACAGGCGTGAGCCACAGAGCCTGGCTCTTCTTTTAATTTTTAATCTGTCTCCTCTAAAACTTCATTATAGTCTGCATTAAGATTTCCATATTGCAAAAACTCAAAGCCAAGAGTTCTATTGCCCACTAAGGGCAAACTTTCTGGAGGCAAAATGGTGTTTGGGTCATTATGAAATGTCTACAGAGAAGGAAGAAAGAAATTTGAAATTATTGAAGATATTGAATTGAATGATCTAGTGAGCAATTCCATATGGAAGAGATATGAATTTCTGGCATGGACACCAATGTTGTTGGAAATTTTTATCTGATAAGGAACTGAGCAGGTTTGGAAGGATAAGCTGTAAGTACAGATTTGGAAAACCATCTAATCGGGTCATATGAGCAATATCTACAGTTTGTCCACTAGGCCATAGCAGAAATGCCAGGCCTACGTGAAAGGTGCAGACACAGCAATAATATCGATTACTCTGAAAAGTTTAATGAAGTCAGGGGAGCAGGGTCAGGTTAACCCATGCTGACCCTGGGCCCACTACCCTGTCAGAGAACAGAGCTCTGGAGTGAATCCAGAAGGAGAGTTCTAGAAAATTCCTGTCTCACCTCTCACACTGGCCCCTGTCTCCCTGGTACTGAGGTCACTTTAAACGCTCAACTGACATTCCTTCTCTAAAAATAAACTGAGCAACCCCTTTTCCAAAGTTACTTACAAATCCAAGACAATATATCGAAAATTTCTGTTTAGGCCATCTAGAACTTTCATATCCTCTGAAGTCAACTGGAATTCAAAAACCTACCAAAGAAGAAAATTTTTATTGTTGTTAGATTGCATAGTTGTCAACTTGCAATAGCCAAATATATCAGAGAGTAGGGTGTAGAGGCAATACTTAAAATATTTGATAAGTTTCCAAAAGTTATAAAGACATCTCTAAATTCTCAAGTGATTAAAGAATATCAGGTAAAATATAAAGTAAATCCATTCCTAGATAGTATATGTTGAAACTGCACAACACTGCAGACAAAGTGAAGATCTCAACAGAAACTAGAGATGGAAGAAAGTTGACCTTGTGTGCACATGATTGGTTCATGTACTTAGAAGATTCAGAAGAATCTAAAGGAAAATTTTGAAACTTATAATTTAGACAGTTTGATGGTGATACAATTTGGATATTTGTCCTCTCCTAATCTCAGGTTGAAGTGTGATCCCCAGTGATGGAAGTGGGTCCTGATGAGAGGTGTTTGTGCCATGGGGGCATCCCTCACGAATGGCTGGGTGCCCTCCCCATGGTAATGAGTATTTGCCACATTAGTTCACATGAAATCTGGCTTAAAAATGGTTGACATTTTATCTTTTTTTTTCCCTCTTACTCCATCTCTTGCTATTTTATATGCTTGCTCCTCTGCCACCTTCTACCATAAGTAAATGCTTCCTGAGGCCTCACCAAAACCAAATGCTGGTGCCATGTTTTTTGTACAGTCTGCAAAATGGTAAGCCAAATAAACCACCTTTTAGTATATTTTATCCAGCCTCAGGTATTTCTTTATAGCAGCGCACAATGGACTGATACAGAAAATTGGTACCAGGAGTGGCACATTGCTAAAAATGGCTGAAAATGTGGTGATGGCTTTTGAACTGGGTAATGAGCACAGTTTGGAAGTGTCAGGAGGGTTCAGAAGAAAATGAGAAGGTAAGGGATCGTTTGGAACTTGCTAGGCATTGGCTAAATGATTGTGACCAAAATGCTGATAAAAATGCAGACAATGAAGTCTAGAGCAATGAGATCTAAGATCAAAATGAGAAATTTATTAGAAACTGGAGCAAAGTTCACCCTTGTTATACTTTAGGAAAGAACCTGGCTGCATTGTGTCCACTCTAGGGGTTTGTGAAAGTCTGAACTTAAGAGTGATGACTTAGGGTAACTGGTGGAAGAAATTTCTAGGCAGGAAAACATTCAACAGGTAGCGTGGCTGCTTCTAAGAGCCTATGATCAGATATGGGAGCAAAGGAATTACCTAATGTTGAAACTTAAAGCTTCCTGAAACCTCTCCAGGATAAGATGCTGGTGCTAAGCTTTTTTGTACAACCTGCAAATTGTGAGCCAAAGATACCTCTTTTCTGTATAAATTGCCCAGCATTAAGTATTCCTTTACAGCAGCACAAAACAGACTAATACAGATGGATATTGTTAGATTTCTGTTTCTATATTTGCCTCGATGACATAAACACCTTCCACTAGACCCCACTCCCATCATTGGGGATCACATTTTAACATGAGATTAGAAGACGACAAATATCCAAATTGTATCACCATCAAACTGTCTAAATAATAAGTTTCAAAATTTCCCCCTAGATTCTTCTGAATCTTCTAAGTACATGAACTAATCACGTACACATGGGTTAACTTTGTTCCAGCTCTAGTTTCTGCTGAGATCCTCTCTTTGTCTGCAGAGTTGTGCAGTTTCACATCAGATACAGAAATGCTGAAATCCAACATCTGTCTGTATTTCCATCTTCAACGGACAGGTATAATGTGAAAAAAAAAAACAAACTGTTTTCAACAAAATCTAAGACAGTAATTGTCCAAATACTAATAATGTCATGCTCAAAGAACACAAGTAGTTGTTTGAAAAGGATCTCAGTATTCAAATTGGAGAGAATTTAAATATCAAAAAGATGTCACTAATTGCTAACATATAATACTAAATTGCTAAATAAATTTATTGGAATACTCTAATGATACAGAGAATGAGAGAGAGAGGAAAAGAGAATAAAGATGTCATGAATTTAACAATTGATGAATCTAGGTAAGAAGCATTCATTGTATTATTCTTAGAATATCTGCATAGATTAGAAAATTATCAAAAAGGAAAAAGTTATCCAAAGACTAAAATTATAAGTTTTCTATGAATAAATCTAGGAAAACATAAACAAATGCCTTAATAAAGAATACTATGTAACTAATTGAAGTGTGTATTAAAATATGTAAATAACTGAATATTCATGTGGTCGTAAACTGGAAATTTCAATAGTCAAATAATCACTTTTCACCAAATTGTTCTGCAGTTTCAAAGCAGTTTCAGCCAGAGAACAAAAGATTAGCTCTTTTGTAGAAGTTGATAATACTGAATGTTATATAACAGAACACTCTTTAAGGACTAGCCAAGACATTATTATATAAGAGAATAAGCCAGAAAAATACTTATACTATTCTGGTAATAAGACTTTCTATTCAACATAATTTAGACAGTACGGAAAGTTAATAACTCACTTCAAAAGAGGAGAAATGTCAGAGAAGTACTTATGGACACTTTACGATGGGATGAAAAATCAAGATATGTGAGCAGATATGGATTTTTCAATAATTCTTAGGACATTTTAATATCAAGTGAAAATTATGTATATGCACATTTGCATCCTTATTTCACATGTTAAAAATCAATTTGTTATCCCAATTTATGAAAGCACTTTAATGCTTTTGTAAGATATTAATAGAATATCGTATATTGCTTTACTATGTATTACTATATATGTAATATTTTACTATATAATAACATAGTAACGTATTGTCATGTTTCCAATATAGGAAAAGATACAGTATTATCAACTATAAGAAAATGTCATGAAGAATTTGAGAATTAAGAGTAGAAACTTTTGTTTATTAAATCAAACATAAAGAGAATCAAAACACGGGTATATATGGGAGAGGTCATTTCAACAATACATATGAATCTCTAAAGAATTAATATCCAGAATATGAATTTTGGATTAATTCTGCAGAGTGGCCTCATTGCCTTGCACACACGTGAGAGAGCCCAGCCAGGAACAGAAGGACTAGACTTAGCTCAGGTGGAGCTTAGGCTAAATTTCAAACCATAGAATTGTCAGTTAAATACATAGTTTTGCATTGAACCTCTACGATGAGGGGTTTTCTTTTATAATTTTACTTAATTATGGTCTTCTACACATAGGAAAAGACAAGCATCCTAATAAAAATACCTAAAGACTTCAATAGGCACTCAAAAAAAATTCTAAGAGAATAAATATGTGAAATTTATACTAAGTAAACAAGGACATGAAAAAAAAAACTGCAAAGATTTGAAGACTAGAGAACACCTAACCCAACTCCTCATTTGAGAAAATGAAGAAAAGGTGATGTCTCTAGCAGAGGGATAGAGAATAAGTTGCCACCTTTATGCTGAAACCAAAATTTCTGGTTTTGGTCCCATCCTGATTCTCTTCACCCATGCTGCCTCTCCTGTGGTAGAGAAGAAAACCCTTAGGATGTACATAAAGCATTTCTGCATATGAAATGCCTGGAAAATGGACTTAGTCCAAGGGTGTCCTGAGAAGCTTATAAGAAACACGTGTGAAGGACACAGTGCAGGAGCCCTGATGCCCACAGCCCCGCTCCTCACCTGCACGTTCTCTCTGATCCGCTGCTCATTGTAGCTCTTGGCCAGGACCACCACCCCACGCTGCAGCTGGTAGCGCAGGGCAATCAGGGCTGGGGATCGCTTGTGCTTTTTTGCCAAGGCACAAAGAACTGGGTCCTCCAAGAGAACTGGGGAGTTTAGGTCCATCCTGGAAGGAAAGCCAGAAATGCTGAAGTCTTGAGACTGGATTCAGTTTGGTAGGAGGCTCCTTAAACAGACTAAGGCATTCATTATGCACCAGAGCTTCTCAAGTGAAGCCCCTGGCCAACAGTAGCAGCCTCATCTGGGATCTTGTAAGAGATGCAAATTCTCCTCTTACCCTGACTCACTAAGAGTGAATTCCAGGAGACTGAGTATGCTATAATTAAAAATTTTCATCAAAACGGCATTTCAGGTAAACTTCCTGTTGCTTTTATTACCATAGTTCAAGTCGTTGGGTTCCCAGAGCACTATAGGCAACCAGAACAATGTCTTTTGACTTGCAGAAATCCAGCAGTTTGCTCTGGTTGAGATAGGGATGACATTCCACCTGCAGATGATCAAGACAGAAAAGCATCAGATAATTCAAAACAATTATGTTAATATAAAAAGATTAAAATAAGCTGAATAAATAATATGTAACATTAAATTTGAACTGAGAATATTACTGTCAAGTAATGATCTTTCTCATAAAAATAAATTTTATACTGATGTTTCCTAAAAGTATACATAGAAATGTTATTTCTGAGCACAAGCAACTCTATGAACCAGAGCCAGGTTCTAAAAACCTCTGACCACTTGAAGTGCACATGGCCAATTCTGGACTTGGGATAGGGTAAGGTTCTAAGCTTTGAACACCAAAGTGTGCCAGAAAGTAAGAATTTCTTCAAAAATTTCTGAGGGCAGGATTAAAAGACAAAAGTAGTAGTTTTATAGGAATCTCAGTAGTAATGTTTGTATAGATTTGACCATCAGAAACCAATAATGAGTAAAATCAATTGCAAGTTATAGCAAAACAATCCATGTGTTCATAGTGTTGAGTTGTTAAAAGAGAGAGTGATCAAAAGTATTTGCCTCCACCAATGGTGATTGATATGGTTTGGCTCTGTGTCCCCACCCAAATCTCATTTTGTAGCTCTCATAATGACCACATGTTGTGGGAGGGGCCCAGTGGGAGATAATTGAATCATGGGGGCCGGTCTTTCCTGTGTTGATTTCATGATAGTGAATAAGTCTCTTGAGATCTGATGGTTTTAAAAATGGGTTTCCCTGCACAAACTCTCTCTTTGCCTGGTGCCATCCATGTAAGATGTGACTTGCTCCTCTTTGCCTTCTGCCATGATTGTGAGGCCTCTCCAGCCATGTGAAGCTGTAAGTCCTTTAAACCTCTTTTTTCCCCCCAGTCTTGCATATGTTTTTATCAGCATGTGAAAATGGACCAATATGGAACTTGGTACCAGTAGAAAGGCACGTTGCTGAAGATACCAAAAATGTGGAAGTGACTTTGGAAATGGGTGACAGGCAGAGGCTGGAACAGTTTGGAGTGTGCAGAAGAAGATAGAAACATATGGGAAGGTTTGGAACTTCCTAGAGACTTGTTGAATGTCTTTGACAAAAATGCTGATAGTAATATGAATAATAAAGCTCAGGCTGAGGTGGTCTCAGATGGAGATGAGGAACCTGTTGTGAACTGCAGTAAAGGTGACTCTTTTTATGTTTTAGCAAAGAGGTTGGTGGCATTTTGTCCTTGCCCTAGAGATTTGTGGAACTTTGGACTTGAGAGAGATGATTTAGGGTATCTGGTTAAAGAAATTTTGACACAGCAAAGCATTCAAGAGGTGACTTGGGTGCTGTTAAAAGCATCCATTTTTAAAAGGGAAACAGCATAAAAGTTCAGAAAATTTGCAGTCTGATGATGCAGTAAAAATTAAAAACCCATTTTCTGAGAAGAAAGTCAAGCTGACTGCAGAAATTTGCATAAGCAACAAAAAGCCAAACGTTAATCACCAAGACAATGAGGAAAATGTCTTCATGGCATGTCAGATATGTTTGTGCCAGGCCCCCTCATCACAGGCCCAGAGGTGGAGGCCTAGGAGGGAAAAATGGCTTTATGGGCTGAGCCCAGGGTCTCAATCCTGTGTGCAGTTTAGGGACTTGGTGCTCTGCGACCCAATCACTCCTGCAGAGACTAAAAGGGGCAAAGGTACAGCTCAAGCTGTGCCTTCAGAGGGTTCGGAGGGTGCAAGTCCCAAGCCTTGGCAGCTTCCATGTGGTGTTGAGCCTGCAGTTACACATAAGTTAAGAATTGAGGTTTGGGAACCTCTGCCTAGATTTCAGAGGGTGTATAGAAACACCTAGATGCTCAGGCAGAAGTTTACTGCCAGGCCCAGGCTCTCATGGTGAACTTCTGCTAGGGCAATGTAGAAAGGAATTCTGGGGTCAGAGCCCCCCCATAGAATCCTTACTTGGACACCACCTAGTGGAGCTGTGAGAAGAGGGCCACCATCCTCCAGACCCCAGAATGGTAGATCCACTGACAGCTTGAACTGTGCACCTAGAAAACTGCAGACATTCAATGCCAGCCCATGAAAACAGCCAAGAGGGAGGCTGTGCCCTGCAAAGCCACAGGATGGAGCTGCCCAAGAACATAGGAACCCACTTCTTACATAAGCATGGGTGTGAGTGGATGTGAAACATGGGGTCAAAAGAGATCGTTTTGAAGCTGTAAAATCTGACTGCCCTGCTGCATTTTGGACTTGCATGGGGCCTGTAGCCCCTTTGTTTCACCCAATTTTTCCCACTTGTAACATCTGTATTTACCCAATGCCTATACTCTTGTTGTATCTAGGAAGTAACCAACTTGCTTTTGAGTTTAGAGGCTCAGAGGTGGAAGGGACTTCTCTTGTCTCAGATGAGACTTTGGACTGTGGATTTTTGAGCTAATGCTGAAAGGAGTTAAGACTTTGGAGGACTGTTGGGAATGCATGATTGGTTTTGAATTGTGAGGACATGAGATTTGGGAGGTCCAGGGGTTGCATGATACGGTTTGGCTATGTGTCCTCACCCAAATCTTGTCTTGTAGCTCCCATAATTCCCATGTGTTGTGGGAAGGACCTAGTGGGAGATAATTAAGTCATGGGGAGGATCTTTCCCATGCTATTCTTGAGATAGTGAGTAAGTCTCGTGAGATATGATGGTTTTATAAAGAGGAGTTTTGCTGCACAGGTTCTCTTTCTTTGCCTCGTACCATCTATGTAAGACATGACTTGCTCCTCCTTGCTTTCTACCATGATTGTGAGACCTCCCCAGCTGTATGGAACTATAAGTCCATTAAACCTCTTTTTCATCCCAGTCTTGGGTATGTCTTTATCAGCAGCATGAAAATAGACTAATACAGTGATTATTACAGTAATTTCTTTTCTGGGACATGAATAATTAAAGGGGAAGAGTTAAGCTTTTAGCATGTTTGGAGTAATTGAGTAATTGTTTCTCCTCTTGGTGAAAAAATTTTTTTTCATAATAAAATGTAAAGTCAGAATAGTAAAACCTGTAAAGTTGAAAGTAATTACTTTAAAGCTACATGGAAAGAACAAATACAATAATAATAATACAATACAAAAATTTGAAACATCATTGATGTATACTCAATTACTATGTGGAAATTTGTAGTGGAATATAATTTTCCCTCTTGATAATTATTACCCAGCAGATTACTAGTAACTGCAAAAGGGAAAACACATGTCTATGAAAATTAGATCTGGCTGTCATTTGCTTAATCAGGTGATCAAAATTAGCATCACTAATTGTGGGGCAATTTGTCATTTCATGCTGTTGGGAATACTGTGGTATAATTTCAGGGATACAGCAAGGTAGAGACAGCTTCTCACAAAAAATGTTTAACTTTGATGATATAAAGCATTCAAGTATAACTTCTAATCTACAGAAACTTGCCTTTCAAAAACTTGGAACGACAAGTTAACTGATCAAAGTACAACAAGCTGAAAGTCACAATTGGATTTGTGTGTGTGTGTGATATACCTTTTATTTATTGACTCTTATTTAACATTTCCCATTGTTTTAGAATTTTCTTTGTAGAGGTCATATCTTTTATTAGGTATAATTTCAGGTACTTAATATCTTTTTATATTGATGGTATCTTTAAATTTTTTCATCTTCTGTTTCTGGTTAAAATATAAGAAGTATAAGAGACCTTTCAATAAAACCATGAGAAATCTGAATACACATGGGATAGTCAATGAGATGAGGGCATTATTGTAATTTCCTTAGATACAATAATTGTACTGTTACTGGGAGAATATCTTCATCTCTATGCCACACTTCGAAAGGTCTGTAGAGTTAAATTGTGACCATTGCAATATACTTTGAAGAGATTCAACAAATACTACTTGTATTGATGTAGATATACTCACATATATACATGCCCATATATTTGCCGGGTTGGCAAAGTCAATAATTTTGGATACAGATGGTAACGTGCAGATGTCCTGAATTATCCCTTCAAATTTCTCTAAAATTTGAAAATTGTTATATTGAAAAAGAGTAAAACTAATATTAAAACCACATTAAATCCTTAACTTTTTAATTGAAATCATTTTATATTGTTATATTACCAAATACATAAATTTTAAATACTGCATGTTTCAACAGAACCATACACAGAATAGATGTGTCTAAACAGTTGAATTGATGACAGAAGGCAAAGAGGAGCAACAGAATAAGATGTGGGCCGTCACAAGGTGAGCTCAATATTCTGCTAAATTTTCCTCAGTGTTGATTTCATCCACCATAACTAGTTATCTCCATAAACAGGTAACTTTCTTTTTTTCACTCTTTAAAGTTTTATTTCACTAACCTTGCATCAAATTTTCACAATTATGTTTGTTCTGGTTAATTTACTATACTTGCTTGACTTCCCAAAATGACAGTACCAAAATATTTGGGGGCTAGGGAGAAGAGACCACTTGAAGCATCACTGCGTTTACTCATCTTCCACAAAGCCACAGAGTTGGGCGTCTGATTGTTCAATGAAATGAAGCTTTGATAGCACCCAGGGGGGCGCACTGAAAAACTAAGCTGTAGACAGTCATGCATTTGTCAAGACCAGAGAAAATCTATTTCACATATACAGAAAAGGTATTGTATTCATCTTTTCTTTTTCTATTACTGCAGCATTTTTCTTCTTTTAATTATCACATCATAGAGTTTCTCAATTCCTTCCTTAGTTCATGTCCTATGATTGCACAGATAGGCTGCAAATGCCAAGGAGTTGGCGAGCTCAGTTCAACCATTGCTAACAATTTCTCAGTTTCTGAGAGAGACAAGTTCTTCAAGTCTAGTTTCTTAGCACCCATATGTACAGGGATATTTTTATTTTCTTATATGCTAGTTATTTTGTAAAGTTCAGTTTTGACTTCTTCCATTCTTGCCACATCAACAGAGTCCACAGTAAGCACAAAGCCATCTGTGCATCTGGTATATGGCTTCTACAGCGTCCCTCATTTCTCCTGACCACCTCTATCCCAGGAGCAGAAAGTGACTGTCTTAGAATTTTCCAAGGTTATCTTCATTTTCTCAGTGTTAGGTCCTTTGGTAGGTACGGTATTTACAAATGTATTGAATTGCAGCCTGTATAAGACAGCTGCTCTTCTAGCACGGTCCAAACATGAAATAACAATGTGGAGGACTGACATGAAGGCAGGCTGGACGGGACAGTACTTTAGTCAGTTAGTCCACCCCCCATTTCCAGCTGCAAATGAGGCCAAATTGAAATGCTTTCTTTTTTTGTGCTTTAGAACTTCTCTTCCTAGGTAGTCCAGCTATAAGACTCTCCTGTTGGAGTCTGGGTCTAAATGAGACAACAGTGGCAGGCTTTACTACACAAGGCAGGGGTGGGGGTAGCACCCCATGTCCTTTCAGCTTTTCTCTCCAAGGAACCCTCATAAACAGGTGACTCCCTGTCTTTAATCTGGATGACTTTCATTGTTTCCAGTTACTTTTTACTACCTGCTCAAGAACTGTGAAAACGGAGATATCAACAAAAAGCGTTCAGACATCTAAATCCCATTTAAATCCATAGGATCTTTCTTGTTTTATTCTCTCTCTCCTGATTTACTGCTCATCCCATGTTTTCATGGCCTTTATGATTATACACAGTTTGCTCCAAATCATCTTGACCCATCCACTCTCCAGTGGTCTTTCGTAACTTAGAGATAAGTCCACCTTCTCCCTGAGTTCTGATGAACCATTTCAGTCAGTCCTTCTTGATGAAATTTACCTCCAGCAAAAATATTAAATACAATTCAGCATAAAGGTCTCTGTACCTTTTTCACTAAGTCTTCTCCAAGGAGAGGCACAATTAAGGGTCTTCCATGTTCTTCTACACAAAGTCTTTCTTTTTTAAATCTTCCGTTTCACAAAGGTAAGTAGAACAGCACAAATGGAAGCCAGGCAGCAGGACAGGAAGATGGGCATTGAGAAGAGAAAGAAGAGGCTGAGGGCGCTCACCTGGTTGCAGACGGGCTTGTACTTGAGCCCTGGCTTGTTGAGGATCATCTCCAGCTGCCTGCGGTTGAAGTTGGACACCCCGATGGACTTGGCCAATCCTGCCTCCTTACACTTCTCCATGGCCTGGGGAGAAAGCAGTTGTGAGGAATTATTTGTGCACATGGCTGCAGATTATGATAAATGCAAGACAGAACTGTTAACAACTGTTAAGAGATGACAATGAAAATTGCACTGATTCTCAGGAGAAAATTTACAACAGATAACAGAAAAGGATGGTGACAGCAAGAGGAAGAATTTCTGTGTCCTCTTTAGGAAACTGGAGAGATAAATGCACATGGAGGATGGGGAGTACCCGTCTTCCTTGTCCCCAGTTGATCTCCTTCATTTCTCTCTATTCTTTTTCAGTCATGTGTTCTTCCCTATCACTCAGCAAAACCTCCTTTGTCAAGCTCCTTAGTTTCTAGATCCAGTGGTGCATATTCCATTCTCACACATGGAAGCTGGGAAACAGGTTGACCCCTTCTTGTCTTCCTTTTCTGTGCTCTCTCCTCCAAGCACTCACCTCCCATGCGGCACAGAGATCCACTGTGTCGAATATTACTTTTCCATTTTCATCTTTTGGCATTAGGTCCTCACCTGGCTGAAGTAGAAATAGTCATTTTAATTATGTCACAATTTAACTTCTCCAGCCATAGGCATGCTCCCAGGTACATTTTAGGATAATACTCCACCATGAGATAGGTGCTGCAATGTTCTAGAAAATGATATGGGCAAAATGTTTCACATATGGAATTTTAAGGAATGTCTTAAGGAGACAGGCTTTCCTTAATCTCCTACTTCTATTATATGTATTAATACATAACCATTTTA